CGGGGCCGGGGGCGGGGCCGAGTTCCAGCCGCGCTCCTCCCTCCCTCCTCGGCCACGCCCCGTTACCCCCAGTGTTGCGCTCCGCCGGGCGAAGGCTTCAGGCTGACCCGGGTCCCGGGGCGACCTGCTGGTCCTGCCTTTGTCTCTCATCCACTCGCGCCCTGCAGAACTGTCTAGAAAGCATTGAGTGGGGGAGGTGCTGAGGATTGGCGCAGGGCCGCCGTGCGGTTTTTGTGCTGCATCTGGGGATTTCTGTAGGGTGCGGCTGGACGCGCAAAAGCGCAGTGACGACGTCGATGTTTTAGAAAATTGTGCTACACTTATTTCTCTTTACGCTGAAGTCTCTAGTCTGAAGAAGAGGCAGAGCATTGAAGAAACACCCTTCGGGCGGCGGAAGACAGTTGTTGCAGCCTTTGTGTTTCTCGGTGAGGAAAGTGAGCCACCTAGAGTTCAGCCCTGGGAAATCTTTGCCCTCCAGCCCGGGTTCTCAGGCCTCCTGCTCTCAGTGACACAAAGCCCTCTGTAAATTGTACTTACTTTGTTTTGAAAAATAATTGAAAGTCATTGGTACTTACAGGTGAGGTGTGTGAGATATTAGTTTGTTCAATAACGAACAAATTAGTTCAATGACTTCATACGTCATTTTCCTTATGACTTGACTAAATTAGTATGATAATGTACTTGAATTTATGTAAACTTCAACCCCTTGTGCGTGCTGCAAAAAATTTTAAACATGCAATACGTGACTATTTAGTCAGGGGCACTGATCTCTTTTCCTTAAGACTGTCAAACAACAACAACAAAAATGACAACAGCCAACACAACAATGTCAGGTGTGAATGCCCTGTCTTGAACCACAAGTATAGGGTGTCCCCCCAAAATGCATACACTGTTTGACAGCTCATAGCTTAATTTTGAAAATTAAGTGTATTTTAGTAAACACTGCCTTTATAATTATTCAAAATGAGTGTATATATTTTTTGCAACTATATATATATATATATATATATATATATACTCTCTATTATATGACCATATATATATATGGTCATATAATAGAGTTGTAGTTTACTGGTCACGTGCCTAATAGGGTTGCATCTGATTGGTTAATTCTTGGTACCAGACACCCTTATATACATGTATAAGCACCTGATTTTTTAAAAAGTCATTTTGGAGCAAAAAGTGTTGGTAATTACTATTTTTTTGGTAAATCAATCAACATTATACCTATTTTTTGTCAGATCAGCAAAAAATATATTTTTTTGGTGTGCCACAAAATTTTAATAATTAATTTGTGTGCAATGAGATGAAAATGTTGAAAATCACTGGTGTAAAGCATTTTAATGATGGGTGTAACGTCTCCCATTGTTGATATTACAGACTTTGCACTTTGACAACCGTATGACAATATACATTTTAGATCCAAACAGGCAATGTGTAGGGTGCAGAGCACTTCTTTTCAAAATGTCTGAATACAGTATTTATGCATCATGAAGCCTTTGAAGCTTTGTTTTAAATTATTTTCAAAGAGTATGTTTTTTGTTTTCTGGGAAGTGTCTCAGTAGAGGTTAGGAATTCGGTATTGCAATATTTTTCTTTTATTTGAGGGGATAGGCACTGTGCTCCACAATGTGACAAAAAGAACTGCAGGAGAGAAAGACTTAAGAAAATTTTTTTAAAGTTTGTCAGAGCCGTTCTGTGTGCCATTGCCCTTGTGACACCCCTGTCTGTAACCATTTATCACTGCGACATTTTCTCATCAGTAGACAAAGGATATATTCCCTACTTGATGTGTAGGGCTTCAGCTGCTCAGCCTTCATGAATGTTAATGTGAATACAACCTTCTTTCTGCATATAGGTTACTTTTCTTATTTTAATGTCAATAGGCAGTGGGATCCATGTGAGAGCCCTAGTGATAGTATTTCAAGCACTTCTACAGAACTGCCGCCTGTTGTTGTTTTTTTTATAAATACTTTCTCAATATCTGCATGCTCTTGAATTGTTATTTATATTTAACAAAGATGCAGTTATTGAACTTTTTACAAAAAGACAATATAATTATATTTTACTATTAAAATATACAAAGGAGGCAGTTAACCATGAATTTTGGCCAAGTTCCAAAAAGCTGGCTAGTAGGAACAAGTACTTTGTCTTGGAGAAAAAGGATGTCTCCAGTGCTCAGCAAAGCCAAAAGGCTTTTCAGTTTTTTGAGATCTCATCTGACACAGTTTTCATTAAAAGGCTGTAGATGAAAGAATATGTAGTTTCTAGGAATGTGTGTCTCTGTCACTAACCTTTAGGTTTTCAGATTTGCTCCAAAATAAAAATTGTCTTGTAATGAGAGTGTAAATTCATGCAACTGGTTAGGAGTGTTACTTGGCAATATCTATAATAGTTAAAAATTATTATAATTGACTGAACTATTATATTGCTAAGTAATTATCTTTGATCCACATACAGATACATAAGGATATGCTTTAACAGATATGTTCAGGAATTCTTACTATAGTAATAGCCCAAAATCTGTAAATATTCTAAATGTTCATTCAGTAGCAGATTGTATACTCTTGTACATTTAAATAATGTAATATTATACTTTTGTTCAAAACAATGAAGTTGATCTGTATTTTCTGATTTGTTCATTCATTTACCTAACAATTTTTTGTTTGGGGCAAAGTATATGTGAGACCTCTGTTCTAGACATTGGGATATAGTGCTTAAAAAGAGAAAGTTTCCTTACTCATGGAACTTCCATGAATAATAGGCACATGGAAAGGTCTCCAGAATGTATTTTAAAGAGAAAAAAGTAAGTTGCCATATAGGGGGTATTATGTTATTTCTATAGAATAAAATTTTAAATATACACCCCACCCCCACACACATTCATGTATCTGTGCAAGAGGATGCATTTTGTTTATCTTTCTGGAAAATTACTAAAGGAATTTTTAACAGTAGTTGAAAAGGCCTAGATGTGGCAGAGGAATAGGCAGGAGACTTTTCCTTTTCTTCTTAGACCTCTCTCTATAAATTGAATTTTTATTACCACATGCTTTTCTTATTAAAAATATTAGGACTGAGCACGTGTTATAATTGACAAATAGTATACACAGTTAACAAATAGTATCCACAGTTAACTATTTGTTACAAGTCCAGTTACAACTGGACTTGTTGCATCCACAGTTAACAAATAGCCATCCATCTCTTAATCACTCCTGAGTCCGTCTATACTTTGTATTCAAGTAGTGAGTGCCTGGAGAAAAGAACCAGATCAAGTCCCTTGGAAATCAAAAAATGAAAGAGTAACAGAACATTGAATTCTTTTTACATTTCTTGGTGATTTCCCTCTGCCAAATTTCCTTCATTTCCCCCCTTTTACTCTGCTCCTTCCTATATCTTTTTATCTTTCTTTCTCTCTAATTCTACTTTCTAGCAGCAAAACTGGAAAAGCCTGTTGTATACTAAGGAAATACTTTCAAATGAATTTAAAACTGGATTATGGGGTGAAACCTTAAAAATTCCCCTCATCTCTGATCTTCAAACAATCTATATAGAGAGAAAATTACTGTGATTCTTCTTTAGAAACCTTGAAAGAAAGAAAAATCCAAAAGACTGCATGATTTAGATATGTTCTGCTAGAGGTGAACCAGATGACCTCCCTGGTTGCTGTTCACTCTGTGATTTTAAAACATAGTGATTATCATAATCGCCACTCTGCGATAATCTGTTTAAGAGTCGAGCATACTTCAGGCATCCAGAATTGCTTATAAATGCTAGTAAGTGATTCAAGGATATTAACTGTGACTTGACAATGACCATCCCAACATTTCTGTCCATACAGATATTACAAGATAAAAACTAACCTCACAAATACTATTCTTAAATTCTTTAGCTAGGTAGTTAGTGCATATAGAAAGAAATAGTTACATGTTTATAATTAAGTAGACTATAACTTGAAATGCTTTGCTTCCCATGATCTTTACAATCACTGTTGCCACATAAGTAAATTGGTGTATACCCTAGAACCTATGACCTGCTGGCTGTTGGTCTACTCCTCCAAAGACCTAAGATGGCCAGGCAGAATTTAATTAAGTCTGTTTAAACAAAGGAAAACATGAGGGATGACCCAGTATATGGAACTGGATGAAGGCAAAAGGTGATCATCAAAAATAGAGTCTAGAGAGCAGACATCCACTTAGGTTTCTTAGGTGTGCAGTGTTGTGTTAATGGAGTTGGGAAGATTGGGGAGTGGGGAAGCATGAAGGGAGAATGGAAGAGTGAACAGAATCTTCTCGGTCTAGTCTGAGTCTTTCCAGGTAGTTACAGATAGATCACTTCTGTGACAATTCTCAGTTTAACCAACTGTGTCTGAAGAACCAAGCAAGAAGTTCAAAAGCAAAGCTTCCATGCCCTTGTAAAGAATCATAGAACTGTGAGGAGTATATACCTAAAGTGAAGGTAGCGCTTACCCAACAAAATATAGACAATAATTACATCTATTCATTCCACAAATATCAATGATATTTCAGGCCCTGTATTTCAGGCCCTGTTTTTAGCACTGGGATATGTGCTGAACAAACAGGCCTAAATCCTTGCTCACAGGAAACTTATATTCTTGTGGTGGAAGAGAGAGAAAAACTAACTAAATAAAGGATATGTTAGGGTGTTGCATG